TGGCTATAGAAATCCTTGTCTCCTCAGCATCGGCTTTTACAACTTTGAAATATTGCCCCATATCAAAGAGAAATTTGTCTAACTCCTTGGCATCTCGGGTGCCACCGTAGGCACAGGGCTCAGGCACACGCGCCCTAGTGAATTCCATGCCGCCACCAGGTGCATTGCCAAAGGCACAGGTAAGAACACCAACCCGGCCATTAAGGTCTTCAATTTCTTGCCTGAGTTCAGCAACAACATCCTCAAAATCTTGCCCGTAAGTAGGGCCATGAGTGTGCTCAAGATCATAATCCCGTTGCTCAAGGGTGGCTAATGAGGCTGTCATGGCCTTTATGTTGTCCATACGCTGCTCTAAGAGCTCAATTATCTCCCTTTGCGTGGGTTGACGGTTTCTAGTAGCATCCATTTAGAAAGCCAATAATAGAGAAAGCCAAATAGATTGGGCTTTGATACCAACTGTCATACACCGGCAATGCGGAAGCCTTGACAAAGATATGCAAGTGTATGCCTGCCAATAAAGCTCAAAAGGTTTGCAAAGACAAGCAAACACAATATTAGTTTAGTTGATGAGCCACAAGATTGAAGACAAGCCACAAAATAACAAGCAACAAGCTAAATTTAAAGCAAGCAACACTAGAAAAGCTTTGCACAATTTAAAGGCGAAATGAACTTTTCATTGATCAAAAGAAGGCAATACAATAGCTGAACAATGCACCAAAAGTGATACAAAAGTTGCCTTACCATAAGCTAGGTTGGGGTACATTAAAGGCACAAGTGGTCTGGTTCAACACTTGGTTACCCCCTCCTTAATATAGCTTGTTAAGCCTTTTCCTAGCTAGCAGGAGGAAACATCCACTATGTTTGAGGAGTCATAATGGATTTTTAAAAATTCTACAAAAAGAGAAAAATAAAAATCTTGGTCCCAAAACACCTTTAATACTAATGTTTTTACATAAAAATTTACAAGACAAAAAGATTACATTTGACTCTCCAAAAGTTGGCCTAAAGTTGCTACTTGGACAGACAAGTCTGTAGCCTGCTGTGGCTAGGTTGCTTCATGGCATGTCTTGAGCTATCTTGCACTATGCCTTGGGGCTTTGCTTGCACTTGCACCAACAACTTATTAGGCATGTTTTGGCTCTCCAAATGGCACAAATGAGTATGGCATCATGGTGTTGACCCTTGGATTGGGGCACCTTGACACTGGGCCAGTGCCCCCTTGCACTGGCCTAGCTCATTCACTCCCTCCAGATTCAGCAACCCTTTGTACAGTACACCCACTTATCTCATTATTCAGCCTACCTAACTGGTTACTTACCTGAGTAGGGCCCAATACAACTTTTAAACTCAGTCCAAGCCTTTCTACACTAAACCCACTCAAACTCCTAATAAAACTAGGAGTAAATATCTGAGCATCTACCCTCTGACATCTATCCACGAGGCCATTATTTAGATTTCCCACCACCATCATTCCTTCACATACATTCCCCTCAACTGTCCTGCCCACTCTACTCCTTGTCTCTTCAACTTCTGTGTTCCCATTACCACTCATTACATCCTCCCCTACCTTAGTCTCCCTTCTCCCACCTGGCTCATCCCCTAGTGCCACCTCATTAGTTTTCCCCACCTCATTTGCTGATTCACCATCCATGTCATCATCTTCTTCCCCGCCTCTGTAGTTGCTCTCTCCATCCTGAGTTCTTTGGTTAATAGAGCTACATTCCTCATCCTTCCCATAATGTTTTAAGCAGTAATAATTTTTTATTATTGTTAATACAACAATTTTTTCTTCACAAACACGCACTGGGTGCACCTGATCTCTACATACCATATTTATAGTTTTCTTGATCGATTCCATGCATTTTGTTACTATCTTCACTTTATTACAACTAAACAATTCTGGTTGACACATATCTCCTTCAAAACTTAGCATTTCCCCCCACAAGTTTCCAATCCTAGACAGGTTAGTAGTATTCCATAAATTCAATGGAATACCATAGCAACTAATCCACACAGTTTGTTCTTGTTCAGACTCCAACCCTTCATTCCATTCTGTGATGAACTCACACCAATCATTGAACCATTCCATTATCATCTTTAAATTCTAACCTAACTCCTTTCTGGATTGGAATGTTAAAATAGTATCATGCCCACCACCATGTCTAACCATGATGTTAAACATTCTTCTTGCTTCCAGCTCCATCTTCAAATTTATATTAGCATACTCTGCTTTCATTCTTACAAATGCACTTTTATTTGACCATCCATTACCAATCTCCTCAGCCTTTACAGAGATTAGACCTCCTCTCACCGAGCCAACACCACCCACAGACCTAATATCTCTCACTACTTCCACACACGATCTGTGTTCTACATGAGGCTAGTGTTCTGCACGAGAGTTTCGCCCTCTCATATCCCCCATCACATTATGAGTCATTCTTCTGTGTTGATGGTACATTCATCTTTCCACTTGCTCCTTTTCATATTTAGCCTTCTTTACCTTAAGCGCTTTATCTTCCACCCAGAGGCCATTGGCTTTTTGTACTGCTATGTCAGTTGCAATAGGACAGTCAAACCTTACAAACCCAAATCTTGTATTAGTCACATTCCTTCTTTTCGATGGAATGGAATCATCTTTTACTACTCCAAACTTAGTAAACAGATTGAACAACCTTTTAGGAGACATCAGGAATGGAAGATTGTCAACAAACATTGTGTACAACCCTGCCTTTAACTCCTTGCGCCATCTTTGTCTCCGTCTCTACTTTACTAGAGGGATCCACCCTCCTTTGTTCCTTTCCCAATCACCATCTCTCTCCCACACTCTCTCTCTAAACTCACTTTTTCTCCATTTAAAAAAAAAAACCTAATAAGTTGTTCATATAAAAAGGGATAAATTAAAAATATTTAAGAATATAATAGATAAAGAAGATACTTGGAACTTAGAAGATGATCCTAACACTATGTAGAATTCCATGGCCAATTATATGAGGAGAATCTTAAGGGAAGTCCTTAGAGAGTCGAAAGGGAAGGGACCCAAAGAAAACTTGGTGGTGGAGACAGGAGGTTCAAGCGGTAGTAAAGACGAAAAAATAGTACTTTAAAAAGTGGCAGAATGATAAAACTGAGGAAAACCTTAAGCGTTACAGATTACCCAATAAAGAAGTAAAAAAAGTAATGAGAGAGACCAAATTGAAAGTCTATAATGACCTATACACTAGACTATAGTAAGGAGGGAGAGAAGAGAATATACAAACTTGCTAAAATAAAAGAGAGAAAAATAAGAGATTTTAATCAAGTTAAGTGCATCAAGAGTGAGTACTCTAAGGGATTGTGAAGGATGAAGAGATTAAGGAGAGGTTGAAGAACTATTTTGAGAAATTATTAAAAGATGAACATGGTGGAAGGTCAAAATGAAAGGAAATAGCCAATAAAAAAAATCAAGATTACAAATTCTATCGTAGGATTAGGAATTTTGAAGTGGAGATTGCAGTTAAAAAGATGAAATCGAATAAGGCTTTAGGACTCGATGATATCTCTATTGAAACTTGAAAGTGTTCAAGTAAGAAGGGGGTTGCTTGGTTAACTAGGTTATTTAGCAAAATTTTGTTGACTATGAAAATGCCAGAGGAGTGGAAGAAGAGTATTTTAGTATCAATCTATAAGAATAAAAGAAATGTCCAGAATTGTGACAATTATAGAAAAATCAAGCTAATGTGTCATATAATGAAAGTGTGAGAAAGAGTGATGGAACGTCGTTTGCGAGATATAACAAAGATGTTAAAGAATCAATTTGGATTTATGCCTGGTAGGTCAACAATGAAAGCAATATCTCTTTTGAAGAGAGTAATAGAAGAGTATAGAGAAAAGAAAAAAGACATTCATATGATTTTTATCGATCTTGAGAAGTAAATAATAGAGTGCCTCGAGATATAATCTGGTGGATAAATAAGAAAATCGTGACAAAATGTTACATTGATATGATTAGGGACATGTATGAAGGTGTGGTGACCACTATTAAATCGCTTGCTGGAAAGACAAGTGAATTTCCAATTACTATGGGATTACACCAACGATCAACCTTAAGTCCTTATCTTTTTGCTTTAGTTATAAATAAGTTGATGAGAAATATTCAGGATGATGTGCCATGGTATATGCTTTTTGCAGATGATATTGTGTTAATAGATGAAACTAGAGAAGGAGTTAACACTAAGTTGGAGATTTGGAAAGAAACATTTGAATCTAACAAATTTAAGATAAGCAGAATTAAAACAGAATACATGGAGTGCAATTTTAGTAATAGTAACAATGTTAGCAGATGAGAAGTGAAAATTAAGAACCAAGAACTATCTAAGAATAAACATTTTCGTTATTTAGGATTGATTATCATAACGGCTGGGAAGATTAGAGCAGATGTAGTCTATAGAATTAAGGCATGATAGCTTAAGTGGAAAAGTGCATTTGGGGTACTGTGTGACAAACGAGTACCCACTAGACTAAAAGAAAAGTTCTATAGAACGGCTATTAGACCAGCGATATTGTTTGGGATGGAATGTTAAACAACTAAGAAATAACATGTAGATAAGATGAGTCTTGCTGAGATGAAGATGTTAAAGTGGATGTGTGGCAATATTAGAAAAGACAGAGTTAGGAATGAGTATATTTGTGAATGGGTAGGAGTAGTACCGATAGAAGATAAGTTGAGAGACAATAGATTGAGATGGTTTGGTCATATACAATAAAGACCAACAAAGACAGTAGTGAAGAGATGCGATAAGGTGACGATAGATGAAAGTATTAGAGGAAGGGGCAGACCTAAATTGACGTGAGTTAGTGTAGTAAATAAAAATATAAATCTCCTGTATTTGACAAACCAAATGGTCGTTGATACAGTCGAGTGAAGAAAAAATATTCATATAACCGATCCCATTTGATGGGATTTAAGATTTGATTTGATTTGATTTGATTTAGTTTAAGTATAAAACTTTATTTCCTCACAGTGGTTCAATCTATACCCGAAATTCGTTTCCAACCCATTTTACATTGCGGGGGAGTCCTATGGCGGCGTTTATGTGCCAACTCTCACTTCTCAAGTATTAAAAGGTATTTTATTATATATTCTAAAAAAGGTGACATGTTCATGAGTTATATATATGTATATAAATACTGGCCTTAATTTAATGCAGGACTCATAGCTGGTGAGAAGCCCATCATCAATTTGAAGGTACGTTAATTAATATAATTGATTTGGTAACTGCATGCCTCTTAAATGATTAAGCTTTGTGCATGGTGTTGTTGCACTTTGGGCATTAGATTGAAAAAAGTAAAAAATAAAAAATACTTCATTAATTGTTATACTTTTTGCATGTACTAGGGCTACATAGTGGGCAATGGGGTCGCAGATGAAATATTTGATGGCAATGGTCTTGTCCCATTTGCACATGGAATGGCCCTTATCCCTGATGAGATGTATGAGGTTGGTGATGCTGAATTAAACATATTAATATATTCTTCCAACCAACTGTTTTGTTTTTCATTATCAAATTCCATATTATTTAGTGCAGCAGTTTTCACTCTCTTTTGATTTTCTATATATATATATACAAACTGAAAATGACACTAATCATAATTTTTTCTTTCATTTTAATTAACTTATCAAAATCATATAAATACATAAATTACATAAACTTTGTCAATCTACATGCTATTTTGATTTGCATCGTCATATTGTAGGAAGCTATGACTAGTTGCAAAGGAAACTACTATAACCCCCCGAACAATAAGTGTGAAATCGCAGTTGAAAAAGTTAATGTGGTAAGGTAGTTTTAATTTATTCCTATTTGTTTTTACTTTTTATATATTATATCAAAAGATCAAGAATATTAGATTGGGATTTTGCAATCCATGTGTACAAATATTTTTGCATTTTTTCACAGAAAGTATGAAAGTTGGTCTGAAAATAAGTTCAAAACTAACTAGTTTTCATTCTCCTTTCTGGGGATGATCACCAGGCTATAGATGGTTTAAACTTGTATGACATCTTGGAGCCCTGCTACCATAGGCCAACAACAACATCAGAAGATGCAAATGGAAACAAAAACACAACTTCAAGTACCATACCATTAAGTTTCAAGCAATTAGGGGTGACAGAGAAGCCTCTTGCTGTCAGAAAACGGATTTATGGCCGCGCATGGCCTTTTCGAGCACCAGTAAAAGTTGGAGTTATTCCAATGTGGCCTGAGTTAATGAAAAGTGCTGGCATTGACGTTCCATGCACGGTAATTAATTAATTAACTACTTATTCAATTCATTTTACATTAATAGTATTTTGAAAGTTTTAATAATATAGGATGATACAGTAGCCACAGCATGGCTGAACAATGATGCAGTTAGAAAAGCAATACATGTGAACCAGGTACGTCCTGATCTTGATGTTATAAATATGCATGCATGGGATGGTATATGCATGCATGGGATGGTACATACCGATTCTCCTACAATTTTACATAAGCAAATTGCATTTACTAAAATTAAAACAATAAAAATTTTAATTTGATAAATTTAAAAAAGGGTTAAAATTTCTATGATAGTGGGGATATTTAGTATCATTTAATAACAAAAACGATATATAGTTTTATTTTCTTTTTATTTTATGTTTTGCTAAATTTAATTAAATTCTGCAAAAATCAGGGAAGTGGAAGTTGGAGCTTATGTACAAATGACCTATTATACAATGGGGACGCTGGAAGCATAATTCCGTACCACAAAAACCTCACTGCTCAAGGATATCGTGCACTTATATACAGGTATCAACTCTCTCTCTCTCTCATACACAGGTAATTCAAATCTCTCTCTCTCAATTTATTACTTAATTTCCAAAACAATATAAAAATATATTTTTTTGATTGGTAAAATAAAAATTTTATTATTTAAAAAATAGTACAAGGAGTACAACACAATTACATTATACATCAACTGACAAAAGAGGCTCCAAACTTAAAACTAATGTGCGAAGGTTCGTATTAGTGGTGGTGGTAGTGGGATTGTGGTGATAGTAGTAGTAATAGTGGTGGTGATGATACACTACAAGAAATGTCACTTTTGGCTACCAAAATATTGGTCGCCAAAAGTCAAAAATTTGGTCGCTGAAACGATTTAGCGACTAAAAGGTTTTATCGCCAAGTTCGTCGCCTATACCCTATCGGCGATAGTATTGGCGACTAAACTTTGTTTGGTCACCGAAAGTGTAACATTTGCCTACTAAACTTCTTTTGGTCGGCAAATGTTAGCTTTTCGCCACTAAAATCAGTAGTCGCCGAATGTGACTTTTGGTTACTAACATTCGTGTGGTCGGGGAAGGTGTTACTTTTTGCTACGAAAGAATTAGTCACCGAAAGTTAACATTTGGCTACGAATCCATACTTAGTCGGCAAACGTAACATTTCGGCCACTAATTTTTTAGTCACTAAAAGTTCTACATGAAAATTTTAACCAACTATTAGACACTAAATATTTTGGTCACCAATAGAATGCATTGCTTTTTGCCACCAAATGTTTTAGTCGCCAAATGATACCATTTTTTTCCCGTGACTAAAAAATTTAGTGGCCAATAGTTTCTTTCTCAATTGTTTTAGCTACTAACTATTTAGTCACAAAAAAAAATTTGGTTATGCTTTTGCTACTAAATTATTAGTCGCCAAAACATTTGATTACGTATTTGGCTACCAAAATATTTGGTGGCCAAATACTCTTTTTTTTTTTCAAAAAAATTCTAAACAACTTGTATTCATTTTTAGTACAACATGTATCCTGTATAACCAATATAATCCATCAACACTAAATATATTATCAACCATTCAAGCATTCAACAATGTGCACACATTTTAGTTCCAACCATCCAAAACAATAATATTGAACGTTAAACCAGAGGTTCGGGGGTTGTTTTGTATTTTCACCCCTCGACCGCCTTTTTCCGATTAAATTTATGACATTTTCAACTCTAACCCTCACAAACGAAGCACAGTAATTCATCTATAATATTTATAAAAAAAAATTCAAGAAAATAAATCGCAAAAGGCACATTCGACTTCAATCTGATCACATTCAGATATAAAACATGAAGAACAAAGGTAGTATTAGGGCATATACAATGTATTTATATATAAATAAGGACAAATTTGTCACCACTCAATCGATTACTCTATGTTATTAGTTAAAAAATAAGTACTAATAAGTACAAGATGTCGTCCTGACATCACTATAAGCTCCCATTGTTCGAGTCCTTCCATAAAACCCTTCGATTGGAAGGGGCCAACTACTCCCACTCGCCCATCCCCTTCGTCCACTGCTGCTGGCACCTGCAGAACCATTGCATGAATGTGAAATCAAGTGCATGTGTAATAAAAATATAGAAATACATATTCATAGTGTCCTCGATCCAATTACACAATGTAAAATTACTGCACAGGAAAAAAATAAAAGACGTGCTTACATGCAGTACCATGGAAGTTGAACCCATCATCCCAACCAGGCAAATGCCTTTCTGCATTACCTTTCCAAGATTTTTCAAAACCAGCAAGTTCGTCTGAGACAACACCACAATATAAGTTCTGTTTTACACAATAATATAATGTAAGGAATGCAAGTTGTCACAATTGATAGCAGGAACAAACCTTCGTTCAAATTATGCAAGGCCTGCATTGTATCCACCTTACCATCAGAATTAAGCTTCCTTGCAACTGAATGGCCCTACATAAGTAACAAAACAACAAAACCAACTCAATCTCAATCTCCATCCAAAGATCAATCAGTGGAACATGCTACTAAAATTTGTAATCACATTAAACTCACAAAGCATGAAGTAACTATGAAATATTCGTAAGAAATAAAATTAAGCATATATCAAACATCAACCAACTAATCCTGTAACCTAAGTAACCATATGATCCAAATTCTTTAGAGTTTTCTGGGTGGAGCAAGCAGACAACAGCGTGCATCAGCCAGAATGTAACCAACAAGCACAACAAAAAAAATGCCACTATAAACAACTAGGCATGTTCTTGATCATAACAGCAAACAAGGACTTATATGGAGCAATCATATCCCAAACACAAACATGCAGGCACCAATATGTTTCTGAAATTCTGACAAACTCAACCAACTAATTCTGACAAACTCACCCAACTAATTTTCTGAAATTCTTTATCACAGTCTAACATTGGAAAAGTTTCTTTACTTTTTTCATTTTTATGAATGTTTTTGGTGGGTAACAGTGTAAAACTTTCACAACTCAATTCCAACAATGGTTAGGTAAACTAGAAAGTCCACAATAGCATGACATACAAATCTATGGCTTAAATTTTCCAACGAACATTCTCATATTTTGACATATCATGTTTCATTGTGGCAATACTAACTCATTATCTCTGAGAATTTGACATACTATTTACTAAATTAATTATAAATATATCAAAGTCAAAGCGAAGAGTCTTTGCTGCATAATTCTATGGTTGGGGAAGCATTATTTAAATTAAAATAACCCATTGTAGTTTATAGACGACAGGAACACTGAATTTCAAGACCAGTACATAAAAGACCAGAGGTAAACTTTTGGACTGTTAACTCGGTTTTGGGTAGTAGAACTCAACCTAAAAAGTTAGCTTTTGCGGTGAGGGTGCCCTCACAATTTTATACTATACGTTACTTTATATTTGTACACAAGCAATTCACACCCTTTCTCATGTGCAGTGTGCTCACTCTGTAGCACCTGCCCCATTAAAAGAATGAGTTAGAACCGTTGGTCCCTTCACAGCCCGGAAATCTCCTTCATGCATCTCTCTGAAATGGTGTGACATCCTTCCCTTTGGATACATCTATTGAAACCAAAACCAAAATCAAAACCAACATCATAAAGCCCGACCTCTGTGAGAACAAATTAAAATGTCTCAAAAACCATGGGAGAGAGTTTTCAAATACAAATTAATGTGTACCTTTACAACAAGTTCAAAGTAACCGAGATCTGAATCTAAAGTAATTGGGGTATATGGTCTGATACCTGCTTCACCTTCGCTGTCGTTTCCTCTGCCCAACATTTGTAACTGCAGAAGCTCAATCCAAGGCATGCAAAGATGCTAGCTCACACAGTCACACCTCATATCCTTCAAGGCATATGGCAGTTAGTTTGTGCCTTGAATTGATAAGAGTTTAATTCAACAGCCTTTTGAAAGGTGCTGGAGAACACTAGCCTTCATTAATAAAAGGATTAAAATTCCTTTAACAGAAAGATTGATTCAAATTCCTTCATTATTAAACAGCCTTTTCAAAGGTGCTTAATTGATTTCTGTGATACAATTCAAATTCCAATGGCAAGATATGTAGTAATTTCAAGAAATACACAAATGGAAAATACTAAATACCTATAACAAAAAGATGGAATGGCTTCTTACACATTATGAAAAAACTAAACAGAGGAAGAAAAATATAGATGATAGGAAACAGAAAGAAAAAGGTGTGCATTAGATTGCTAGATTTAATTGTTTAATTCATTACTAAAAGCACACTAATGAATTGTAATTTTATTTGTTTCAATTCTCTTACTAAAAGAATGATAGAACAATTTGTATCATGAAGGAGCAAAATATTACTAGCTAGAGACAGGAATGGGCCTGCTATTGCATCAGTTGCAGAGGTGGCAAAACACCAAGCAACCTCCATGTTTGGTTCCTTAAAGTGAACATCATCAAATGTCTTACTTATTCAAATTCCAGCATGCTGCCTTCATTATACTTGGTGCATTTAAAAACCAAAGCCTCAAGTTAGTAAAAGTCAATACCAACACCAGCAGATCAATATGTTTGTATAATATTAGTCAGGTATCAAAATCACATAGTATATCATTACCAAATCATAGTATATCATCACAAATTTGGTATATCATTAAAATTTTCAAGATTTCTCTCACAAATTTCCATGATATAAGTAAAAAATGCATATAAACATTAACTATTCCTGATCATTACTCCACCATTTCAACACAAGCAAATCATCGAACACCTTGCAAGCAGAAAATTGAGGGGCTTATATTCAAACATTTCATAGGCCTATATGTATATACATATTACAAAAGAGGGTAAGGAGTTGAAGACAAACACAGAGTAGTTGATGGCGAAAGGCGATTCATGGACAGGTATCGGCGATTCACGGACACGTTCGACACCGATGTCGATGGAAGCGAAGACACGTTCGACACCGGACTTGAGCCTAGTGAGAGTGGCCTTCTTGTGGGCGATGATGAAAGGGGCATCCGACCTCGCCAGTGTCAAGAACAGAGCTGCTATCAGAACAAAACTGCAAATGAAAGAAGAAAACCCTAGCGACTGAAATTAGGAGAAGAGAGACTGAAAGATAGAGAGAGGGCAAAATAGAGAGAGGACATACCTGGGGCAATGCTCGAATGGTGGATTGACGGTGGTGCTCGTGTGCGATGGCAGTGATGCTCCCGTACTCGACGACGATGGAGACAAAGGCAAAAAAGAGAGCTGGAGGAGGGCAGAGGCGTGAGAGAGTGAGAAAGAGATAGAGAGAGTCACAGAGTGAGAGACAGACAAACGTATGAAAATAAACTAGGTAGTTTATTTTCTTTCCCGACCAAATTTTATAGTCGCCAATAATAAATAAAGACGTTTTGCCGACCAAATTTGTTAGCAGCCAACTAATTTTCCCTCTAAAATCTGAAGCCCAATTTTAAAATTTTTCAATTATAATCGACGACTAAAATTTAGTCGCTAAAAGTAAATTAATACCGACTAAATTATTTTTAGTAGCTAAAGATTATACATTTAGGGATCAAAATTTTTTTAGTCACTTATAGGGTAATTTTTTAGCGACTAAGTCATTTTTAGTCGCCTATTGAGTAACTTTTTAGCTACTAATTGTATTTTAGTCGCCTATTGGGCTATTTTTAGCGACTAACTGTTTTTAGTTGCTTATTGGGTCATTTTTTAGCTACTAGTTGTGTTTTTAGTCGCCAATAAGTAATATACGGCTACTAAAATATGAAAAATTTTAGTAGCTAAAATATGAAACATTGCCGACCAATTCAAATTTTAATCGTCAAAGGGCTGACTTTTGGCGACTAAATTAGTTTTAGTAGCCAAATTTAGTCGCTAAAAATGTAATTTCTTGTAGTGATAGTAATAATAGTGGCGGTGACAGCAATGGTACTGTGATAATGGTCATGGTAGTGGTCATAAGATGGTAGTAGTAGTGGTGATGACACTTCAATTTAGAAAATATTTTCCATCTTTCAAAAGTAAAAAAATATTTTCTATTCAAATATATATATATTGTTGACTAGGAGAAACATTTTTCATTTACTTTGTTTTCTATCATGCCAAATGTCGAAAAATGTGAAAAATATTTTCTAATGCAGATAACATTTTTAAAAATATACATTTCAATTGAAACAAACAAATATTTAATCAAATACAATTCAACAAATCATATAACTATTGTTTAAAAGTTTTTGCTAGCTAGTTTGATTAGTGCTTGCTAATTGCAGTGGAGATCATGATATGTGTGTTCCATACACCGGAAGCCAAGCATGGATTAGGTCTCTTGGGTATAAGATTACAGATGAATGGAGACCTTGGATGACTAATGATCAAGTTGCTGGGTAAATTTTTATTAATTTCCACTTATTAATTAATACTATGATGGAGTTTGTTCTTCCATTTCTTGTCCCAATAATTAATTATTATTATTAATCTTGAAAGAAATCGTTTAGTCATCTTGAATGAATTAGAGTATAGCACATGACATTTATCTTATACTAATTCTAGGTATCAAAAAAAAGTAATTATTTTATAATAATTCTAGGTACCTTAAAAAAAAATAAGGGAAACTAACAATAGGTACTAATAATTAGACTTAATTTCCATTATTAGTCCTAATAAATCATTGTTAAAAATATTTTTTTGTGACTATTTTTTTGCATATGTCGTTAAAAATTAATAATTAGTGACTTTGTTATACGATTTTTATAAATTATCGCTAAAATTTACAATTAGTGAAATTTTTCCGTGATAAAGTTATTAAATTGTCACTAAAAACTGAAAATCAGCAACTTTTTTTTGACAATTTTTTTAAATTGTTGCTAAAACTTATAATTAGTAACATTTTTGTGATAATTTTTTCAAACTATTGCGAAAATTAATAATTAGTGACGTTTTTTAATATTGTTTGATGAAAAATATCGTTAACTATCATAGAATCTATTAAACAATAAGTCCATTTATTAGAACCTATACATAAGTTCCTAAAAAAATATTCAAAATGTTATTTAGAAAAACGGTGTGTGGTAAAATTCTTACTATCAAGAATTGTTAATCTTAACCATGTCTTTTACTTTAAAAAATAAATAAATAAATAAATAAATTATTTTGTCTTAATTTCAGGTACACACAAGGATATGATAATGGCCTCACCTTTCTCACCATCAAGGTAATGCATATCATTGAGAACTATGTCATTTTATTTTATATATAACTAAATTTTATTTGTATAGCATTACTGATATTATAACTATCAATCATGTAATACAGGGAGCTGGACACACCGTACCTGAATACAAGCCAAGAGAAGCGTTGCACTTTTATAGCAATTGGTTAGAAGGAAAACAAATATGATTGGGAGACAAAATTCGAAGTTGATGGAAATATTGAAAGAAATAATCTTTAAACTCACATTAATTCAGCAGATTTTCAAAAGTTTATCAATGCAAATGAGAACATTCATGATTCGTAAAAAGAAATGAAGATGAAGAAATTTTAATAAAAGAATGGATTTTATATATCCTAGAAAATGAGATAATTTGCCAGTACTAACTGAATAATTAATGGCATTGCTGTTTCAATTTTTGGCCTATTCCATTCCATTGACAAAACATGTTTTTGCAATTGTTTACTGGGAAACAACAAGCTTTTTGCTTTTACCAACTCATAAAACGTCGGATAATTTATTTTTTAAAAATAAATTTAAGACACTAACGTTGGTAGTTGTCTTTGAATTTTAAATTTGTGAAAAGATTTGTTTAAAAAAACAAAATGTGTTTAAAAAAACAAAATGAACCAGAAGCATTGTGAACTAAAAGACTTTTTTTATCTTTTTTCTTCACAAATACCTAAATTCGAAATTCAAATACTATGAGGTTGTGTTTTATTTGTAGAATTTGAAGAGAAATTTTTTGACGAAAAATAAAGTAAAAGAAAAAAAATGTGAGAAAATGTTGTTTTTATTTCATTCACTTATTCTTTTCTATTTAATTTTTTTTTACAAATCTCTTCTCAAATCCTAAGCCACAAACTGAAAGAAATAGATTTTGTCAAATGTGGTTAAGAATTCTCATATTTGATTCTACGAGAATCTAGAAAGATTCCAATTTCTTAGACACACAAGATAGTCCTACAATTGCAAATCTTCAATAGGTGAAAATAGATACATACAATAAAATCTAGAAATTCTTACAACATTACCTCTAAATTCATCAATAATAATATTGAAAAAAAATTAAATTCTAAATGGTTAATTTCTGAACCAATCAATAACTAATTTGAAATAATCCACATATTTATGAATAAATTTAAAGACACTATTTTCAATTCTTTTATTAATTATAAAATCAGACATAATCCTATTCATTCATCAAATGATTTTAATCTCTTTTGTCTCTAGGCATCTCAAACTTTTTTTTCACACCCACCGTTCATCTTTCTTTGTTTGACATCCAAACATCCCACATCCTGAGTCGTATCAATCTCTGGTTTCATTTGTTTCCATCAATCAAAATATCTCAAACTAGGTGAAAGAGACTAACAAGTGGGAAATACATGGCCAAAAAAATAAAAATAAAACAAGTGGGAAACAACTGACAAGCAAGCCTTTCTCTTCAAGTTGAGAACTCTCTCATTCATGCCTTCATTACCACAAATTATTTTGAACATAGTAAATACCAACCGCACAAAAAAATCTATACTATATATTAAATAAAAAAAAATTTTAACTCTCAAGACTTGTGAAAGTTTCAATATCCCAATATGAATTTTCTAAATTTTTTATTAAAAAAAAACTCAGCATTTATTAATTTGATCAAAATCTCATAATCAGAATTTATTAACTTTTTTCAATCCATATGTCTTTCCACATGCCTGCATTTATTGATACAATCCCCTGATCAACATTTAAAATTAGGAACTTTTTTGATAAATTCATTTTCTAAGAGTTTTATTTCATCCAACCCATATTCTTTTTTACTATTCCATTAGGTCCAATTTGAGATAAGAAGGCCAAAATACCCTTTTCATCTACTTATGTTCCATTTAGTTCACATTATTTTCTTATATTTCAACAAGTCTTATGGGTGACATAATTACCAAAATACCCCTAATGTGAATGTTCACACCGTCAATGTGAATGTTCATATCATCAATGTGTAGGGGCCTGGCTCATGTCGATCCTCGTGGGTGCCCAGAAAAATTCGAGTCGGGCCGAGCCGGCCCACAGGCCAAAAAAATAGGCCTGGCCCGGCTCATTGATAATGTGAATATTCACATTGACAAGTTAACATTCACATTGATAGGAGTGTAAATTAGCCCGCGCCTCGTGGCTGCCCGAAACCCACCAACGACCCGTGGGCGGCCCAGGGCGGGCCCGACCCGGCCTGTTGACAATGTGAATATTCACATTGACATGTTAACATTCACATTGATAAGAATGTAAAATTAGCCCGCGGCCTGTGGCCGGCCCGAAACCCGCCCGCAGCTTGTGGGCGCCTTGAGCGGCCGCCCGCCGACCGTTGATAAATTAAATATTCACATTGACAATGTTAACATTCACATTTGATAAGGTATAAAATTAACCCGCGTCCGTCGGCTGCCCGAACCGAGCCCAGCCCGTGGCGGGCCCGGCCCAGCCTTTGACAATGTGAATATTCACATTGACATGTAACATTCACATTATAAGAGTGTAAAATTGACTCGCGCTCCATGGGTGCCCGAAGCCGTGGGCGGCCCGGGCGAGCCCGGCCCGGCCGTAACATGTGAATATTCACATTGACATAATTAATATTCACATTATAGGAGTGTAAAATTGGCCGGTGGCCGTAGGCGGCCTGAAGCCCGCCCGCCCGCCAGGGCGGGCCCGGCCGGCCCGGCCCGCCCGTTTACAAATGTGAATATTCACATTGACATATTAACATTAATATGATAACAGTGTAAAATTACCGTGACCTATAGGCAGCCTGAAGCCCGGCCCCGGGCCAGGCGGGCCCGGCCCGTTGACAACGTGAATATTCACATTGACATGTTAACATTCACATTGATAAGAGTGTAACATTAACCTGTGCCCGTGGTGCTCGAAACCCGCCCACGACCCGTGGACGGCCCGAGGCAGGCCCGACCATCTTGTGACAATGTGAATATTCACATTGACATGTAAACATTCACATTATAATAGTGTAAAATTGACTCGCGTCCCATGGGCGCCGGGTGGCCGGGTTTGGGTCCGGGCCAACCGCGGGCCGCGAGCGAGCTTCGGCAGCTAACAAATTTACACTCCTATCAATGTTAATGTTAACATGTCAATGTGAATATTCACATTGTCACGTGTCGGCCAAGCCCGCCTCGGGCTGCGGTCTGGCTTCGGGCCGCCCACGGGCTGCGGGCAATTTTACACTCCTATCAATGTGAATGTTAACATGTCAATGGTGAATATTCACATTGCCAACGGCCGGGCCGCCCCGGCCGAGGTCGGGTTCGGGCTGCCCATGGGTCACGGGCCAATTTTACACTCTTATTAATGTGAATATTCACATTGTCAACAGGTTGGCCGGGCCCGCCGGCCCCCCACGGGCCGTGGGCGGGTTTCGGGTAGCCACGGGGCGCGGGCTAATTTTACACTCCTATCAATGTGAATGTTAACATATCAATGTGTATTCACATTGTCACAGGTCGGGCCAAGCCCGCCTCGAGCTTCGATCGGGCTTCGGGCCGCCCACAGGCGACGGGCCAATTTTACACTCTTATCAATATGAATGTTAACATGTCAATGTGAATATTCACATTGTAACGGGCCAGGCCAGCCGGGGCGGGCTTTTGCCGCCCATGGCCGCAGGCCATTTTAACTCTTATCAATGTGAATGTTAACATGTCAATGTGAATATTCACATTGTCAACGGGCCGGATTGGGCCCCCCGGGTCGCCCATGGCCTCGGGCGGGTTTGCGCCGCCACAGGACGGGGCCAATTTTACCATCCTATTAATATGAATGTTAACATTGCAATGTGAATATTCACATTGTCAACGGCCGGCCGGTCGAGCCCCCTAGGCTGCAGACCAATTTTATACTCTTATCAATGTGAATGTTAACATATCAATGTGAATATTCACATTGTCAACTGCGGCCGAGCCACCCCGGCCCCACGGCCGGGGCGGGTTTCGGGCAGCACGAGGCGCGGAGCTAATTTTATACTCCTATCAATGTGTATGTTAACATGTCAATGTGAAATTCACATTGTAACCGGCCGGGCCCTCCGTGCCGCGGGCGGCTTTTGGCCGCCATGGCCGCGGGCCAATTTTATACTCTTATCAATGTGAAAGTTAAATGTCAATGTGAATATTCACATTGTCAATGGGCCGACCGGGCCCGTCCCGGCCGCCCGTTGGCGCGAGCGGGTTTCGCGCCGCCACGGACGCGACCAATTTTTTTACACTCCTATTAATGTGAATGTTAACATGTCAATGTGAATATTCACATTGTCAACGGGCCGGGCCTGCCCCGGCTCGCGGCCGGGTTTCGGGCTGCCCACGGGCCAATTTTACATTCCTACCAATGTGAATTTTAAAATATGAATGTTCACATCATTAAATTGCTAATCGTTCAAAAAATATTTATAAAGGTATCAAAATTGAATATAAGGGCATAAGTGTCCAAGAAAATAGTGTAAATCAAGAAAATAGACTTTATGGAATAAAACTATACATATATGGAACTAAATGGATTAAAAAATTCCTTCATGGACTTCTTAGGTTAAAATACTTCTAAATTGGACTTATCAATAAAAATCCCTTTAAAATTCCCTCATACAAATAATTATAAATACAGTCCGTATATAGTTACTGCAGTACCCTTTTCAACTTCTCTCATTATTAAATTATTTCTATAAAAAATCTTAAAAAATATAATTTATATTAAAAAAAATCTAAAACAAATATAAATATCTATAATTGTTCCGTGCATAGCACAGGTGATAGGCTAGTTAATAATAAAAACAAAAGGCATAGGCCCACCATTCATCTTCTCATGACCTCCCTAGCATATCCTTGACTCTTCAACCTAAATATCTATAAATAAAATAAAATTAAAAAAAATCAAATTTAAATAATACTCCTAATAAGACCAAAAAAAAAAAAAAAAGAGCTGATTTTTCTACAAAAATAAAATAGCCTGAACCAAACAACACCTTCATTTGTTTTACTTCCAAATTAGTAGGCAGCTAGAGTTTGCCCATATGTTGATAGAATGTCAATTTCAAATTAGGTAAATAAATAGTAACAGCCACCAACCCTGTCAAGTTGAGAATAATGAATTCATTACCACAAATTATTTTCAGAGTAAATAACAACCAACAAATCAACAAAAAAATCAAGAAGCAGAAAAAATGAATGGAGAGTTGGGAGTTTTACAAAATTCCAATTCTACCCATACTAGAGAGCGGATGATTTCGCAGACACTCATAGATAGGCCCAGATCTCCGGGTCCTAAACAAAACATCAATGCTGCTACAATCGCTTTTGCTTAATTTTTTTTGGCTTTTGTATACAAAAATAAATCATAAACAAAGAGAAAACAAAGAATATTTAAAATTTCGGGGGAAAAAATAATAAATAAACAGACCAAGGAACTAGCTAGTGAGAAGAAAAATAAAAGAAAATCAAATCGACAAACTTTCATACCTAAGATCATTTCCGAGACTTGGTCTCTGAGGAAGCTTTCTTCTCCTCTTTACCGGGAACATACCTGGGCAAAGTCAATAGTGTGTTTACCCGAGACACTCCTTCCAAAGCAGACCATTCAATTCCTGATTCCATTTGCATTTCTTCCTCATTTCCCAAGCCTTCCTCCTCTTTGTTTTCTTCTGCAACAGTTTCTTCATCACCTCGAACAGTTCCAGAACGAACCAGCTCAGTTGGGGGAGAAGGATCATCATCTTTCACACTGCGAATGTTGCCTTGCTCTGTTGGAACAATTTTCTCTTTGGATTTGATATTGAAATCAGTGGATAAATTGTTGCCCGAGCATGAATCTAGGAAGAGACAAACCACAGCGCAATCATCGACTTTGGAAGTAGGGTATTTACGCCTCCATGCTCGAACTGCAGACTCAACAAGAGCTCGAGCAGCAGTGGAACGCAATGGGGCAGACGCTACAATGTCTACCACTTCATTATTTGAAAGCACATCCCAAATCTGTGATAATTGCCACACACACACACACACAAAGTGTAAGTTTAGACCTGAAAAGAAGCGAGCATAAATCAAACTCAAACACGTAAATTGTTAGAAGACAGTTAAATCTGGTATTATACCCCATCTGTTGCCAAGACAACAAACTCATCCTTGTCGGTTAGACATCGAATAGTAATTTCAGGCACGGAGATCAGTCCAAAATCTTTGAGGCAGAAATCTCCAAAAGCACGGGCCATTGCAAGTCCAGGGGAATCATTGTTTGGCAGCCAAACTCGGGCAACCTCAGGTTCATCTCGAAGGGCAAACACACGGCCTTTACATTTTCTAATCCTCTCTGCTTCCGCTGCAAGGTTAAAGAAAAGGAATGGATTAAGAACTAGAGAATATGGACAAAGATGTTCAAACTTAGATTTGTGTACCTTATATACAGTTGAAAATTTATGGAAAATATTAGCCCATAAAATAAAAAGGAAACAGAAAACAAAGAAAAGAGTTCCAATTTGTATGAATCAGTGCTCCCTCCCAGTACATAAACTGGTAAATATCTAAGTAGTAGGGCAGCGAAGACAGGATACAGATATAACAATATGATACAAACATACCAACAAAACAATGTTTTAAAGACATGCAAACAAATGGGTAAATTACACTAGCATCCCTTGAGATTTGGAAAAAATTATTTCTTCATTTTTTACATTACAGCTACAATTCTATTTTATAATGTCAAGAGAGACAAAAAAAAATATCATTTTCCACATACCACATATCAGAAAAGAAGTGTAACAAAAAGTCATAAATATCAATTTTAGAAAGCTCTATCCATAAAGAAATTGATTTCCTTCAACATCTGAAGCATGCTTTAGGATGGGAAGCATGTACATTAAAAACAATTATAGAACAAAATCAAGCAATGAATAAAACAACGTAATTAGAGAAACATGCAACATAAGCGAGTCACCCAAAATGCAAGTAAAGTCAGTATCACCATTCAAATAAAGATGTAACCACCTCCACCCAACCAAAATGTCATTTTGACCTCCATAACTGCCATATTATCCTCAACTATAATTTATTGTTAAACACATTTGAGGTTTTTGCCAAAAGAAGGTTCACACAAATCGCAGCCGACATTATCCCCACTATAATAATGTTTTAATAATTTTAGTGAAATGTATTAGACTTTGTATGCCAAATTTTGAACATTGCAGGCTGTGCAAAATTAACCGATCAGGGTACTATAAATGCAGGACTCTAATCTGACCGAGAGATTACATAATTTTTCTGCTTTAGTTCCATCATGTCTTATGAGAGAGACCTCCGTCACATGAATTAAGAAGGCTAAGAAATGAAAAGCAGAAGAAATACAGGAATAACTGGAAAATTGGTGACACAGCATCTTTATGTCTCAAGCAGAGCATTCTGAAAGTAAAAGCTGGGTACTTGGAGCACTTTACCCCTTCTATCGTTCAGAATAGTCAAAGAGATCCCATGTGGTTTTGGACTTAAATGCAATTTCAACTACATTAACGGCAAGTGCAAATGTCCTTTATGCCCCTACGCAATCTTCTTTTTGTCTATTTTGTTATACATTTTTTTTAACTTCATCACATATTAACCAATTAATCCACATATACTAACCCACATAACCCTAATTTTAAAATCTACTTTCCAACTTTTTAACCTAATCTCTAATTTAATCACATTTTGAATTATATATATACATATGTATATATACATAAACTTATATATGCAATGTTATACATATAAATATATAACCACATCAGAATTTGACTTTTACTCAAATTTTTTTCTTGCCAACTCTCAAAGCACGCACGTGCGTGTGGCACAATTCCATCCAAACTGACGGAAAATGTAACCACATGAGGCCAATGGAAGTGTTTCTAACCCTATAACATAATTGTTTCACCAGAACAAACCACCTTCAGCATAACCAAACCAAGCCTTAAGTCCCATCAAATGGGGTCGACTACATGAATCCTTCTTCTCCACTCGACTCTATACATACATACATATTGTAATTTAAAAAGAAACTCCATTGGAAGTGTTTCAAGACTTCGAACAATATTTTCACAACAGCTACCATTTTTACAAAAGCTCAAACAAACTTAAGCTTGTAGCTTAAAATATTACAACATAAAATTTACAAACACAGAAGTATGTTGGAAAATTTGATGTGTACATACATATATGCACGTATATAAATATAAATATATATATATATAGAGAGAGAGAGAGACAGAGAGTAGAGACCTGGAAGATTTGGTTTGAGGTCCACTGTTAACTGAACCGCAACAATAGAATCGTCTTCATCTCTTGTACCCAGTACAGCCCTCGAGTCCCCAACATTTCCAATCACAAGATACTGGCCCTGTACAAAACAGTCAGGCATTCATGACTAGGAAAAAATTCCCCCCAACATCCGCCTGGATCTGGAATCAAATTGTAAAATTTTAAATCAGTAAAAAATTACCTGTTTCACCAGTGTTACTGCAGTTGTCCCACTGCAAAAGCAGTCAATATTTGTGTACATTTTTAGTTCCTTATCCATGACTTTAAATGCCTTCAGGATGGACTCTTTCAATGTCTGAAAGATCTCTGGCTGCTTTTCGGTTTCTTCAACATCAAAGGAGGGCCTGGCTTCCTCATCAGCAGATACAAAGGAAGTACCTTCAGAGTTCATGCTACCAGTCTTACTAAGGCTGATCTCTTTGAGAACTTCATCACTCTTCATATTAAGTTCCCAATGTGCACTCAATTTTGAGGGGAGGGAATCTCTCACCCTCCTTGCAACCATGTGACCATAAGGACCATGCCCATCGAAAACGCCACAAAAGATTCTGTCTGTTCTTGAGCCAAAATTCTGGAAATCCAATTTCATAATAGTTAGTAACGAGTCTATCTAGCCAAACACTTATAATAAGGAAGTGGATCAATATGAAAAACAGAGTTGTAATACATGTCGTTTGACAAAGCTGCTGTGAAGCATCAACTGATTTGCTCACATAACGTATACATATACAAAGACACTATGCAGGCAGATCTGAAAAGAAAAAAAAATAATTATTTCTTAGCCTTCCCTGATTAAGCCCAAGAAACTATAAAAACACAAATAGCTCTTTTGAATATCCAACTCTGAAAGTGTGCCCATTAGTAACAAAGAATGGATATCTTTTAGAGATCATCTTAGATGAGATTTTCTTTTTCTTGTTAATTTATCAACTCTATATTTTCTAGTGTACAAAGTCAATCTGATTCATTTGTCCAGCATCCAATATGTCATAGTGAATTTACTATCCAATAAGTAATATCCAATTCAAAGTACCATAAGGGCATGTACCATTAAGATACAATGATACTCAAGAGCACAATCAGAGCAAATAATCATGGTCAATAACTCAAAGAATTGAATGGAAAGGTGCAGTTAAAAGGATAACAAGCGGAAATCAAGATAAGGATGCAATCATCTGACATCTATGAAGCACGGGTGCGGGTGCAGATACTGGTACGAGTACGATACAGGTACGCCGATACGGAAAAACATTAAAAAAATAAGATACGGGTAAGGCTGAGATACATCAATAATTTTTTTATTTTTTATAATTTATAGTTTGAGATCCAATCTACAAATGAAAGTTCAATACCAAAACTAAAAGGAGAAATTACAAAACTAAAAGAATCTATTTTAATGCCATTAAATAGGAGAAATTATAAAATAAAGTTTCATTCTAAAAGCAAGCTAAGCAAAATTTAAAAACTTAAAATTTTAGTTTTTACTTACATTAATTTCATTATTGAATAATATATCTTTTATCTCTGGCACATCAAATAAAGGATTTGCAATTTCAAGTCTCTAATAAATTAAACATATCCTCACCAATATCCCATAACTTGGTGTACTACCGATATATCCATGAAGTATCTATGGGGTACCTAACTGTCAAAAATTATATAAAAAGTATTCGATGCTTATTTCGAGTATCCGGTACACATGCAACCCTATCGGTACGAGTATCCGGTAAGTACCCAGTATGAGTACGGCAACATTTTCAGAGTAGCCATGCTTCATAATCTGACATATACCACAGGAATCCCAACAACATAAAAATGGTTTTGGGCACTTGTAAGATTAATAGTAATGTCTTTCTGAATGGGGAACCTTGAGTTATGACAATGAAGGTGGGCTAATTCTTTTGTCTCTCAGACACGAACTCAAAAGCAAAAGCTTACTAGGGACATTTTAGAGATCAAATTTGCCACTCTAAAAGCATGGTTCTGTGAAGCAACTGAAAGATTGTATAATATCCTGAACGTTTTAAAAAAAAATGTAAAAACTGCCGCCAATTAATATAAAATTGCTGCTTCTTGAACTAGAAAAGCGGATTGTCCATCAGCTGAATAAATCACAGTGCAAGACACGTAAGACAGTAAGACAAAAGAATGGGGATAAAATATTAAGTTGAGCAAATATGGAATCAGATTTTAAGTAGTAGTTATTTCCTATCAAAAGCAAGACATCATTTATACATCTAATTGTACCAGCCGCACAAGCAAATATTATATTTAGGTTGCAGCAACCATGAGCAAAGCATATATATATAATAATATTCAAGAGACACAGTATGAAGATCTATTTCAACCATTACATTATATTATATTATATTATAAAATAAAAGGGAATGACAAAGCTAACCTCCCAAACAATCATGGCATCTTGATTGGTCCCTTTCTTGCCTTGCTGGGTAAAGAGTGAAGCAACTTCAGTGGACCCATTCAAGAACATTCGCCCCGGAATCCTATGCAACTGTTCTTCCCTCCTGCAATCAAAGGAAGAATTACGAGACCCGGGTCTCTTCTTTGAGACCTTCTTCTTCCTAATCCCCAGAGGGGAACTTGGGGGAGGGCTCCTGCTATCGGAAGACAAGCAGGACCCCATCCTAAGGGCCCTGATAATATTTAATATGCACTCCAGACCAGCTATGCAGTCACACCCCCTATTTTCAGTAGACGAATCCGTCACAAAAACTGTCCAGAAAATCCCTACAAAAAAACTTTGTTTTCTTTTTTTGCAGGCTAAATTTCAGCTTTTAACCCCCCCTTCAATCATGCAATTACATCCAATTAACGCAGCCCGGGGTTGATGCAGAAGAACACTGCAAATTCAATTCCCAAATCTAAAAAGGAAAGCACTTTCTATAAGCACAAAAAAAAAAATTATTATGTCAATCTCCACCAACCGTTTCCCTTTGCTTTATGAAAAAGCTAATGGAATGGAATGGATCAGAGATCTATTTGCCCTTTCCTTTCTTCTATCCACTTAAAGCAAACAAATCAAAATCCCTGTTTTTTTCCCTTTGCAAAAGCCTCCCCCTTGAATGAATGCATACCCAAATCAAAAACCAAAATTCACCACACCCATAACCAATTAGGCGGAGTTGGATCAAAGATCTCAAGTACCCAAAATCTTTAACCAAATCGAGAATTCGACGCCAGGGAATGTTTCGGAAACACTCAAAATTCCCCAATTAGAGAGAAAGCAACACCTCTTTAGCAGATCGAACACCAGTCAATCCAACAAAACCCATAAATAAACACAAAGAAGAAACAAGATATAACCTTGCTAGTAGAATGTAAAGTAGACACACACACAGAGAGAGAGAGAGAGAGAGAGATTCGGACGGTTTGACAGATTCAATAGTGCGGAGAGAGAATAGCGCTAGCGAAAACCCAAAAACCGGAGATCGCAAAAAAACGCGCTGAGAGAAAGAGAGAGAGAGAGAGAGAAACAAAAAGCCAACACAGAAGAAGAAGAAGATAGGGCCTTCTTCTCTGTTTTCTCTGACTGGGCCATATGTATGTACGATTGCTATCAAACTCTTAAGATCTTAATGACAGTAAATGCCTAATACTCAATTAATTACAGCACCAAACTTTGTGTAACCAAATCCAATAATAACAAATTTGGTACAACTCAACACATAGGCGTATACAGATAGAGATGCAGATATGGACACCAGATTCATAGGTATGTATGTATCTATCTACCTATCTATCAATATTATTATTAAGTGAACACCTCTTATGGTGTCCTGAAACTTTACTCTCCTCATACTATGTGACAGTATTTTTTATTCTTTTAAAAAAGGTGTCCTGAAGCTTTACTCTTCTGATACCATAGGTTTAAGTTAAACAAAGAGATGGGCAATGTTTGAACCCACGACCATGGGTTTAAGTATGAGGACTCATACCACTTAAGCTAAATACACATTATAATATTAATTTCATTATTATTATTTTTTATTCCTACTTATTTAAATTACACACACATCGTGTGTGTGCCACCCACTAGTTATTATAAAGTGAACACCTCTTATGGTGTCCTGAAGTTTTATTTTCCTCATAACATGTGTTTTTTATTTTTTTTAAAAAACTTAAACAAAGAGATAGGTAAGGTTTGAACCCATGACCATGGGTTTAAGTATGAGGACTCATACCACTTAAACTAAGTACACATTATAATATTAATTTCATTATTATTTTCTTTTATTCCTATTTATTTAAGTACACATTATAATATTATTTTTATTTTTATTTTTTTTTATTCCTATTTATTTAAATTGCACACGGATCACGTGTGCACGGCCACTAGTCTATTCTAATACGTATCGAAGGCAGCTTGATTACGTAGAAAAGATGAGGATAAGACTTGAATTAATATCATAAAATTGGAAAAGTAAGGCTGTGTTTCGAACCATTTTTAAATTATGATTGTATCTCCTCATTTTTAATATGATATTTGGATAGGTATTTGAAATTAATTTTTCATAACACTGTAGAAAATTCTGTGTGGGACGTAATTTTCAATATTTTTTTTTTTTTGAAATTTGGCTTAACCGATCGTCCCACCAGTCGTTTGGCCGGTTGATCGGAACAGTGTATTTTTTTTTTTTTCAATTGATATATGTTAATTTTTATATATTTAAAAAAAATATTTTCTGAATTTTTTAAAATTTTTAATGTGTTTTAATACTTTAATAGAATTTTAAGTTGTATGTTTGGTTATGAATTGTAAGTTTTTGTATCAAATATCATATGTCACATCAAAAATTCCCTACTCAACCCAAAACTTTTTTCAAAACTCTTTTACCAAACAAATTTTTCACACTCAAATTATAATTCCAAAACTCACAAACTCAAAATATAACTCTTTACTTTCAAATCATATTTAGGCTTCGTTTGGCAAGAGCTTTTTTGACTATTTTAGCCATAAAAGACAAAATAAACTATTTTTGTCACAACAAACAAAACATCACATCCAACCGATAATCATTACACTCCTCTTTCACAAAAAAAAAAATAAAAAAAAATAAAAAAGTCAAAAAGTCCTGCTCAAACCAAACTTTTTAGCCCAAGCTAAAATAGCCAAAAAAGTCAAAAAGCTAAAAAGCAAACTCACTTCCCAAGTGGAGGCTTAGAAAGCTCTACCAAACGCAACCTAAGTCTTTATTATTTGGGAAATAAATAATATATCTGTATTTTTTTTATCATTATTCATATTTTTTTTATCATTATTTTTATATTATTATATTTTTTTTAAAATTGCGCACGCATTGCGTGTGTGCCTGTTAATATATGTATATAGGCCTCTTTTAGAAGTAAGTTAAAAGTTATTTTTCAATTTTTAATCGATTTTAGATCACATTATTTCTCATATTTTTTATATTTTTTTTTAAAAAAAATCAAAAAATTAACTTTTAACTATCTTTTCAAAACACCTCACAAAAACGAATAATATTAGAAATTCACCTAATTTATATACAACTCATAATGATGTGACAAAGAAGTTGAATCCATCGTTATCAAATATGTAACAAATTAAAAATTAACACATATCCTGTTATCTTATATCATTAGTGTCAAATATTTCCTAGAGAGAGAGGGGGGGAGGAGTTGAATCCATCATTATTAAATATGTAACAAATTAAAAATTAACACATATCTTATTATATCATATCATTAAAATTGCGAGTCTCAAATATTTCCTAGAGAGAGAAAGGAAATTTGAAAAGGGTAAGAGGGTGAGGAAGGAAGCCAAATCTCGATGAGACACTGGATTTGTGATACTACAATGATAGAGAGCCAAATCTCGATGAGGCCACTGAGTTTGTAATACCACAATGATAGAGAATTCTAAATTTTAAATTTTAAATTTTAAAGAAAATTTTAGTGATGTGACAAAGGTTAAATAAAAAAATAAAGAAAAAAAAACAAAATCAAAACATCATATCAATGGAGTAAGGCTCACCCTAAAACTCCTTTAGAACTCAAGTTTTAGAACTTTAAAAACATTTTTGATTTGTAATATTCTATTTCGCTTATCTTATTTGTTCTTCCTTTTTTCTCTTTTATTAATGTTCTCCATCTTAATTTTTCCTGGTAATTTTGCCTTATTTTTCTTATTCCTAAACTAAAATTATCACTCTTTTATTTTATATTTGTAAAAAAATATTAACAAAATGTTTAAATTAAAACAAATTTTTTTTAAAAAAATAATTAGATAAAATATATCAATTTTTATTTAAGTAACAATTGTCCATAATTGATGGGATAAAGTGTGATTTGTCTTTCTTTTTTCTCTTTTTTTTGGTTTTACTTAAGGGATATTTAGAATGATCTAAATAAGTATATTTTTTAATTTTTTATTAAAAAAACGTGAAATATGAGTTGAATTTAAAATTATGTGATAAAGAATTGATATGACCCAAATAAAATAATTGTGACCCAAACAGAAAAATGTGTTAAAATAGGAAGGCCAAGCACCCTTTTATTTTGGTACCTGTAAGTTACAAACTGAATATTTTGAAACTCTTGTCGAGCTAAGATATCTTAGTTCGATAGCTAATTAATCAGAATCAAACCATCATAAATATATATACATATAAGTTAAAATTATAAAAACAAGAAAAATACGTAAAAACTTTAAATTTTCATAAACATTCATTGTCAAAGAAAAAAAAATAAAAGAAAACTTAATTCAGGTTTCAATCAAATTTAATATCTCACTTGTATTTAAATAATAATAATAATAATAATAATAATAATAATAATAATAATAATTTATTTAATTTTAATTTCATTTACATTAATTTCTTATAAAAACTAAACATTTTCTTTTTGGGAACAATATTTAGAGGGTAATTTATAAATAAATTGGGCCAAGCTAAAGGCTTCTTTAGAAACTGGGCCGCACGTCGGACCAAGATATGAGCTGCTGTAGCTCAGTCTAAACACTGACGAGGCTTGGCCAGAAGTAGTTTGGGCCGAGTTATGGGCCGAGGTGTTTGGGCTTCACAAATTGGATCTCACCCTTGTTAGCTCAGTCAGGGCTGCTGCAGTTAGCTCGGTCTAAACAGCCAAACCGAAGTATAAGGGAGTAGGGACCGAGCTAGGCGTTGTATATGAAAGCACCAGATTGAGTATGTTAAAGGGCCTAGTGTTAGCTCAGTCATACTGTTATTCAACCGTGGTACAACCATCTCACTTGGTTTAGCAATGAAGAGGGTGTTGAAGAATAAACATTATCTTTCAGGAGTGTGATTCCTAGGAAGACTCTACATTGAGGAATAAGAGCCCTACTAGGATTGTGCCATGAAAAATCTATAAAAGTTCACAATAGAACCTATGTACAGGTATCACAACTTTGATTCTCGAACACACAGAGCTTTTGTCTATTTGTCTATTTTGCTGACTTAGGCATTGGAGAGGTATTCGGCATACACCCACCAGCTAGTTCACGTTTGTGTTTTCAGGGAGTAAAGTGATGACGTTTGGAGGAGTGTAAACTTGATCAACAGTATTATACGAGAAGATTATTTCGTACTCGTACAATTAGCGCCGTCTACGGGAAGTAGACAAGGAACAAAACCTCTTGATCAAGTTCTCCTCTCTAATGGAAAGCAATGGCACACGATGAAGACTTGCCGCAATCTGCTGTTGATGGGCAAACCCCGGAGGAGAGTGGGAGGCGCGAAGGTTTACCTTTCATCCCACCCATGGCGGATTTAGAACCCCAGCGACGAAACTCCCGGAGGGATGTGAGGGAAAAATGGGGCACTAGGCCCTGTCGCTCTCAAAGTCCTAAAAGACAGAGGGGAAGGTTGGACCCTCAAGTTCTAAAGGATCACGTTAAGGAACAAGATGAATTAATCAGGCAGATAGCGGCAGACATGGAGACAATGAAGCGCCAGATAAAGGGAAAAGGGATGGCGACAGAAGAGAAGCGCAAAGGCAACACGACCTCTCGCCACTCAGAAGATCGTAACAGGCAGGTCACACCATCATAGGCAGAAAGCAGAAGCCTTAAAAAAGGCGACACTCAATCGAGGACTTCCAGGACTCGTTACTCCAGGCCTGAGAGAACGAGAACTGAGAGGTCGTGTACTGAGGGAAGCACCTATTGGCCCTCGCACACGCACCAGACAACATCTAGGCACACGGAGTTGCCCAAATCATCTGACTTGCGAACAGTACTTGAAAAAAGGGCCCGATAGAAGGAGGACACCAGGGTCGCGACCCACGCAGAGTTTCAGCACTACAGCGATTGGCCCCTAGGATACATGGAAGTGTCGAGGTAGGAATGTCAATGCCGCACCTTGCTTACGAACCAACGGACAAAGTATTAGCAAGGGTACAGAGCTCGCCGTTCGTTCCGGCAATAGAGAACGCACCACTACCTTCAGGCTTCCACCAGCCTAAATTCACTACTTATGAGGGGAAAACAGACCCCTACATACACTTAAGCCACTTTCGCCAGGTTATGGCAGTATACCGGCGAAACGAAGCCTTGATGTGTATCATGTTCCCATCTAGCCTTGGCGACCTAGGTCTAACCTGGTTCGAAAGGCTACCAGAAGGCAGCATCGCCTCATGGGCACAATTGGTAGAAACG